AAACATTCCATTGACAACGATACCGTAACTCTGACGGCAAAAAAAACCTATCATAATGTACAAGAATACCTGGGTCAAGCCAACACTGAAAGATCCTCGCCCTGTTTTTTGTTGACTAGAAACGGTGCCCCCTTGGACCCGCGGTACCGTGATACGATACTACCTATATAGTATCAACAATCATATCGTACATCAACTTCTGCTGCCGCCTAAGAGGGGCTCCGACTCGCCGCTTCCGCTTGCGTTGCCCTTCTTCTTCTTACCTCTCTTCTTACGCTTCTTCTTGCTGTTGCTAGCGCCTTGCGAGTCGGCATTCGTGTTTCCTTCTGTGTCCGTGTTCGTGTTCGACTTCAGGTCTTGGGCACCGTCAGTTTGAGAGAGCAGTATCTTGTCTTCAGAGTCACTCGAACTAGTGGTCTCTAGCACAATCTTCTTCACCCCGTTCACGTCCACGATGTTCTCAGAGATACTACCGCTGCGGGCTGTGTGTCGTTTTTTGGGTGGACTGCGAGATGGAGATGGAGAACGGCGCAGCGACGCTACGGTGCTAACAGACTGCGACCGCTGCTTTGACTGAGCACGACCATTGCGTTCTGTGGCGTCGGTATCCTCGACGATGAGATTTGTGTTCTCACGGGCATGGCTAGATTTCGGCGAAGCCGGCTCCTCTTCTGCTGCGTTTAGTCTCGAACTATCATCTTTCCAAGACAAGCGGTCAGAGGTCATGGTACCGTAACCCACGGCTACACTGTGCACTCCATCACTAGCTTCTCGTCCTGTGGCGTCACTTGTCAGCAGACGAACCTGGCAAACGAGCAGGGATGCGATGCACGTACCTGCAGACTCCAACAAGCCCTCTCCTATACCTCCTTGGGGTGCATGCACGGATCTGATACTAACGCCGTCTGACGGCTTTTGGGTGACTTCGGGAATTGTATTGGGAATACCGTTGGCAACACCCTGTTTGATTTTGACGGTGCCGATGCGAGTTGCTTTCGGTCGGCTGGCAACATTCGAAGGACCCAGATGCTTAAGATGCTGCCTGATTTCGGGATCGTCCAAGTCGCTGCGGATGCCTCGAGTAGCATTCCGGTCCATGGAGTGACCAGCACCACCACTACTACGACGACGCAGGAGCAAAGTCGTAGCTTTAGTGCTAGGGGCCTCAGGCAGTGATAACTTCCTCTGTGCGCCGCCCTCACTTTGTTCCACATGCAGCTCTCCGTCTTTCACAGCCTCAGAGGGCTTTCGTGAAGAAGGATCGGCGACGATCTCGCCCTTTGGTACGCGTGTACGGGGAGCAGGATGAATTCGACGAATGGCCTGTCGTTCAGATTAGTAGAAGCAGTAGAGTTAAGTGTAGTAACGCACCTTGTGCACATCGACGAACACATCAGACTCATCAATGATTTCTTCGCCGATCAACTCTTCAATGACATCTTCCAGAGTCACGACGCCAACGGCACCGTAAGAATCACCTGGGAAATCCGACACTAGGACCATATGCGACTTTCCTTCCTGAAAGAAGTTGATGATGTCTAGACAGCTCGTCTCAGGTCGAGTTTCAGGAAGCGTAGCCAAGGCAAAATCGCGAACGCGCAAAGCGTCCTCGGGATCGTACGTGATGAGCATCTTAACAAGTAACATGCCAACGAAGTTTTCCTCGTTGTCAGGGCTATGGATGGGAATACGAGAGTAGCCAGCGGAAAGAATATTCTCCATCATTTTTTCATCTAGGACAGTGTCGGATGACATGGTAAAGACGTCTTCCATGGGGGTCATGATATTCCCAACCGGTTTAGCCTTCAGGTCCAACACGGCCGAAATAATGGTGACCTCATCCTCGTTAAGGCGCTCGTCCGGGCTGGTGCCAAGCGTCTTGTGAAGAGTGACAAGAGTCTTCAAGCCAGCCTTTTTGTATGTTGTGCCGTGGTCTTCGCCGAGAAGGTAGTCGAGTAATTTCGCAGTGGGCCATGCAACAGGAGCCATGACATACATGAGGCCGAGCACAATGGGCGACATCCATGCTCCAATGGGGAGACCGTAACGGACGCATATCGACTGGGGGACGACTTCTCCAAAGATGACTAGGTATGGTAAGTGGTTTGAGCAGACTTAAGATGGACTGACGGCCTACCGATCAGGACGGTGGAGCTCAGAACAGCTGGCCAGCCACCGCCTAGCGATCTGTCGAGCACGATAGGCAGAGTCTCGTTAGTGATGACGTTGCTCAGTAGCAGTGTGACCAGGACCCAATGCTTGCCCCTCTTGAGCAAGCGCAACACCTTGGCCGCGCTCTTTCGCTCCGCGCCTTCACCAGACGATGCGATGACTTGGAGGTAGATCTCATCCTGACCCATTAACCTGTACGGGATGATATCAGCTATTGCGCGTGTTCAATCCAAGTCCTCGCAGGTACTCACGCTATCGTCAAGCCGGCAAACACGCCTCCAAGCAGCACGAGGGCGATGGCGATGCCTAGGTACACCCACAAGCTCGCATCTGCGGGATCCTTGGGTAGGTCATCGTCTTTCAGGGTGCGTATAGCGTTTTCGAAGAGGGGCAGGGCCTTCGCTACGGGCGCAAAGCTGTGAATGAGAGCGAGCAGTAGCGTGTTGATGCGGGCGTGGCGCGCCCACGAAACGGCATTGGCGCCGCCGGGCGAGCGAACGGAGCGCATGGCCGATGCCACAGCTTCAGACGGGCTGGAGACGCGGGCTGGAGGGGGTGCGAAAATGCAGTGGGCGGCGCGTCAGAGCAGTCGAGGCAAATTGAAGACGCAGAGATGAACATGTCGCCAAAAAAGCGGCCCGTGCGCTATAGTGCGGGTCGGGCGGGACAGCTCCAGAACGAACGCAACAACCATCACACATAACAGCAGGCCAAGCGCTGGGCACGCTCCCCCATCACTCTGCCAGATGACACAATCTCGTTGGAATCTGCTTGCTTGTGCAAGTGCCGATGCGGACTGCGCACCATAGAAATGTCAGTCGCGCAATGGGCCCTTCCACGCGAAACACGCCAAAGCGACAACCTTTCGTCATCGTGCCTTTGACGAGAACCACTGGAGCCGTCCTACTAAACCACGCCTTTTGGTCAGAGCTTCAGTCACGTGCCTCTTGCGGGGATAGATGTCTTGGGCGCACTAAGTCCGACAGGCACGCTGGCCTATGATAAACCCGCGTGTAGCCGTCGGTGTTGGTCGCTGTCGGCAATGCAACAAACACGTTCAGCTCTCCGAGTCCCGTCAGCCGCCTTCTGCTTCCCGAACACTTCGCTTCTTCTCCATAACATGTAATTCTGCCAACTTGGACAATGGCCGCTAAAAGCCCCTCCATCCGCTCCCTATCGCGCTACCTCCTCCGTCCCCAGGCGCCCCTCCACCCTCGGTGTCGGCAACAATGCCACGGCAAGCGGTACTCTTCAGCAGTAGCCGGAGCACGTCTCAATGGATCGGTAGAATATGACACTACGCCTCTCCTCTACCATACCTCCAAAGCAGCCCTCGCAAACCCCGAACTGCCTGAGGATGTCCGCAAAGGCCAGACCAAGCGCATCAATCTCTACCAAGCCGTCAATGAAGCCCTCCGCCATGCCCTTCAGACCGACGAAAGAGTACTCGTGTTTGGAGAGGACGTGCAGTTTGGTGGAGTCTTCAGGGCGACCATGAACCTTGCGACCGACTTTGGGACGGAACGCGTCTTCAACACGCCGCTGAGCGAGCAGGGACTGGTGGGGTTTGCCATTGGTGCTGCGAGCGAGGGTATGCGGCCAGTAGCAGAGATCCAATTTGCCGACTATGTCTACCCAGCATTTGACCAGATTGTGAACGAGGCGGCCAAGTACAGGTACATGTCTGGAGCGACAGGTGTGAATTGCGGCGGGTTGACGGTCCGGATGCCGACCGGTGTGGTAGGTCATGGCGGCCTGTAAGCATTTTCAGACCCCACAAATTTCGATATACTTATATGCATCGTAGCTATCATTCGCAGTCTCCTGAAGCGCTCTTCACTCATGTACCCGGTCTCCGCGTCGTCGTCCCACGTTCGCCCACCCAGGCCAAGGGTCTGTTGCTCTCGGCCATACGTGCAAACGATCCCGTCATTTTCATGGAACCCAAGATCCTCTACCGTGCAGCTATCGAACAAGTTCCAGTAGCTCCATTTTACCTGCCACTCGACAAAGCCGAAATATTAAAGCCAGGGAAAGACGTCACCATCGTCTCTTATGGAACTCCCTTATATACATGCCAAGCAGCGATAACCGCAGCGGAGAAAGATTTTGGATGCAGCGTTGAATTGATTGATCTGAGAACAGTATACCCATGGGACAGGGAGACGGTACTTGAAAGTGTCAAGAAGACGGGACGAGCGATTGTGGTCCACGAGAGCATGCAGAACGCCGGTGTGGGTGCTGAGGTCGCGGCGACGATTCAAGAAAAGGCGTTTTTGAGACTAGAAGCGCCGGTCAAGAGGGTGACAGGATGGGCGACCTTCACAGGATTAATGTTCGAGAATCTGATTATACCAGATGTGACGAGTGAGTCCATGTTTCCCCTGAAGCGGTCACCAGTGGGAGCTAATGATGATTACCAGGGGTGTACGACGCAATAAAAAAGACACTAGACTACTAGACGAAAAATTTTCTATATATGGATACTGCTGACTGAATTTCTCGCGATCAAGTCGTATTCGAAGATATTGTTGACTTCGTCGTAGCATAGATGCTCATACCGCCCGCTTATAAGAACAGCTCACAATACAATAGAATGAAGGAAGTAATACAATCAACCAAGATCTAACAGGAACACCTTCAGCGGCCATGAATAAAGTGCACACGTTCTCTGACTGCCTATACTAGTGCGCTGCGGCTCCACATTACTACTTCCCGCAAAGTCTCCACAGTGGAGCCACAAAGAAGCCCACCCCGAAAAAAGAAAAAAAAGAAAGCCTACAGCTCCCTCCCTGCCAACCAACACAAGTCAAAAAAGAATCCACTGCTGTCGCTTGTGTGGATCGAACACACTACCTCCAGATGTCTCGTTCGATGCGAACCAAAGTTTGCCGCCCGAAGGCGGATTGCTTCAGTCTGGCGCTCTCCCAAATGAGCTAAAGCGACTTGTATCTACTTGATGACTAAGATTGGACTTGAAAAATATATATCCAGGGAGCAATTGAGCAAAGTGTCGCGTAGAGGAAGCGAGAAGACTTTGACCCGTGGGTCCAGAGGGGCCGGCGGTGTAAAGATTTTGGGCTACTAGGCGCAAACGGACCCGATCCTCAAGGCTTTGCACTACAGCCCGTAGTTCTAGGAGAGAACGGTAAGCGAAATATCGCACCGAACGTATAGCCCCTGAGCGTGTTCTATATCCACCGTTTCTCCCCGTCTTACGGAAGGTTTGTCATAAGGAACTCGTCCCCTTGCGCCCATTCTTAAACCCGTACGCTGTTTCCACATTGTTCGTTCCGCCATCGTTCTACGCCGTTTCTATAGACTTCTTGTACGTCAGCGTCAGCTCATCGCGTCGATGACGGCTCAATGGTCTAGTGGTATGATTGTCGCTTCGTAAGTCCTCCGCCACCACCAGCACTATGGAGTTATACATCTAACAGCGCATAGGGGTATCTACGCCTGGATTCTAAGGATCTATATGTGACAGGCCCCGGGTTCGAATCCCGGTTGAGCCCAATCTTTTTTCAATCCATGTGTAGATGTGAAGTCAAACTGTAGAAACTGGTGATGCACGAGTCCCTTTTTGTCAGCGTCTCTCGAACATAGCCTTAGCTAGAAGCGAAATACAGCACCTATGTACTCTTCACCCCATCCACCTTCCCAGCCACAGCAATATAAATCTAAACCGACACCAACCACTCCTTGCAGTCCTATCCGACCAACCCTGTCGTTCCCATCAAAACAGCCCCACCACCTCCCCAGAGTAAGCTTTCCATCCTTCCATCCACCCGCGCGCGTCGCGCCGTAGATCCAGCGAAATGTCGCACATAATCACCATTTCTCCGAACCAAGGGCAAAGTATGCCTCTCGCCCCAAGTGGAGCGACGGTAGCACAGGGCCCCCCGAACCGGCATTTGACGCGCCTGCATCGGCCAAAGTGCCGATGCACCGCAATCTACGGATCTACCGGGATCCAGCAGCTTCCGCCCATATATGCATGACACCTAGGTGCGGGGAAGGCGATCGACCGCGATGCATGTGTGTTTGAAGATAGAGTGGATGGGGGGAGCGATTGTAGGCCACGAATCAAGCTTTGTGCTACCTTGGATAACGTGCTGCATGAGTGCGCCACACGCCACACACAGCACGATTATCCACGGCGATGGTGAGGAGTTGGACTTTGTTGTTATTGTTGTGAAAATGAGTCGTTGAAACGACTGGGGGTATCATTGCTATATAAAATGAATAGTCATATAGGACACGCTCTCTCATGGCCACCGGCTCCCTCTTCCATCATCGGCCCAACCCCCATCCTCCCATCTCTCGTCGATTACCCTGCTTTTGCCGCCACCTATTATTGTCGTTTTTACTCTCGGCATGAGCGGCGTGTCGCTCCGACGATTGACACTCCCCTTGTCAAAGTCGAAGTCAAAGTCGCCTAGCTCACGCTGTAGCTGCTTTTCGACGCGTTGCCGGACTTCCTCGGCGCGAGCGTCAGCTTCGAAGAGGAAGGCCAGCTCTTCGAGGGTGCGACCGTAGGTTTCGGGGAACATGAAGTACTGGCGAGGAGGGTCAGTGAGGCATACAGGAAGGAGAGATGGGAGAGACGGACGATGAAGACGATCTCGAAAGCAAGCCAGCAGCAGTAGGTAATGAGCCAGCGCCAGTTGATGCGGTCGAGACCAATGGGGTTTACGAATGTTGTGAAGAAGCCGGCCCCTCGGCCGAAGAATTGGAAGATTGTGATGCCTCTTGCGCGTTGAGCGAAGGGGAACAATTCCACCAGAAAAGCTGCTTCTAGTTAGCAGATGCTCCATGAATTCCTTATGCTTCATGGGGACAGAAGACATACTGTATGTCAGAGCGTTATAGCCAATGTTGTAGCACGGCTGATACGCAAAAATAAAGAAAATCGTGATCTTGGCCGCCACTGCACTCTGTTTCTCGAAGAACTGCTGCATCGCTACCGTCCATCCCACGTAACAGCACAGCAGCGCCGTCGCACATGTCAAATACATGACTCTTCTTGGGAACCGTCTCACTAACAGACTGATACCCACTGCGTTGATCAAATTCCAGCCATTCAATCCCACGTTCAGCTTTCCTTTGAAGTTCGGATCTTTGTACCCTATGAGTTGCAGGAGGTCCGAAAGATAATATGAAATGAGCGTGTTGCCAGACCATTGGGTAAACAAGCCGAGGAACGAGCCGACCAGGACGCGCTTGCGCATGCCGGGCGTAGACACCATGTCGAACCATGAGCGTTGCGAATGCGCGAGTTCAAGGCGGATTGTGGATTCGATTTGGGCCATTTCGGCGAGGGCGAAGTCGGACTGGGAATTGCCTTCGGCGTGATAATGGACGAGGATGCGGTAGGCTTCGTCGCGTTTGTCCTTGGAGATGAGGAAACGTGGGGATTCGGGAATGAAACTATGTTCTGTTAGCTTATGTCATGTACTGAATTGCTTTATTGTGAAAAGAGATTGGTATCGTACAAGATGAAGATGATTTGTAGCAGTGACGGCCCTGCCTGCAATAGACTAGGTATTCTCCACGCCCAATCCGAATTCAGGTGTTGTGTGCCAAAGGATACGCCAGCCGCAATTAGTGCGCCAACGAAGTAAAGAGCGTTGAAAAGCGAGGTCATAATGGGTCGTTCTTTCGGGTATGCAAGTTCACCCATGAGAGATGAGCCAGCGATAATACAGAAGGGAATTCCGAAACCGAGGATCCAGCGCGCTATGACGTACATTGCAGCTACAATCAATTAGCACAACCCGGTGAAGATGGTTGGTGTTGGGCACGTACCGCTGATAGAGAAGGCTTGAATGAGGGAGCCAACTACCATTATCCAGCTCCCAAAGAAGATGGCCCATCGTCTTCCAAATGTATCATTGACGTAAGGTACGAAAGGTAGTGCACATATTGCACCGAGATTATATGCTGCCGAGATGATGCCAAGCAGAGGTCCGGAGGGATGGCTGAAGTCTGGTATTGTCAGTCTATCAATCTTTTATCATCATTACTGAAAGTTTGCTCACAGGCTTGCCATGCTGGAGATATCTGGACAGTGTTGATCATCTGTGAGTCGAATCCACTCGTCATCTCGATACCGATACAACACGGCAACAACAACGCGTAAAGCACTCTCAGATTCCTCTTCTGATACCACGGCACCCGATCCTGTTGTACGATCCGCGTCAATACCGGATCCGCTTGGTGTGCCTTCGCCGCATTGCCTATGGGCGGCGCCATGTTTGTAAAGCCCCGATCTCTCTTCACTTCGTTCAGTTCAAGTGGGTATGCGCATCCAATGCCTCCAGGCCATACAGGCCTCGAGTCCACGACGGTAGGTCGACAATGTGATTGAATAGGTAAGGTGGAAGTCGACGCACACGCGCGAGCGAGGCATCCGACGCTTCTTAATAAGTTTCCCATCACCGGGGGCCTGGAGCAATCAATGCATCCATCTGGCGTGCGCAGGATCTACGCCGGGGAGAGCGCGCACGACGGTCATCTGCTTTGGTGCGCGCTGAACCCTGTCGAGTAAGCATATTACGCATATACGCGGGTATTGACCAATGGGTGCCGAGCTGGTCCCGAGATGGGGCGTATGCGGGTAAAGTGAACAGGACTTGAAGGGGGTTGGGACGCCGTATTGCTACGCCGCCCTGAGGGATATGTTGGATAGTGGTGTGAAGTGGCGGCGTGGTTGATGCAGTCATCTCGTGCCGCACTGCAGCTGCGACGAGAAGCAGCAGCACACTCGACGTCCGCTGATGCGAAGGATGCGACCCGACTCTTGTTCTCTTGTTGTTGTTGTTGCTGTCTGCGCTCCCCCGGGCTCCCCTTCGGCATTGCTCGCAGGATCCAAGTCGGCGATCCGGACATGGCCAATCCTTTCGCTACCCAATCACGCAGGCTCCCCGCAATCCTCCAGGCTCTTAACCCCAAGCATCACCATAACATGACATATAAATACTCGCTGGAGGCTCGCTGGGGCAACCATGCCACTTGGGTACAGGCATCCAGAGATCTGGTTCGCTCGCGTGCGCTCTCATGCGATTCAGCTGCTAGCCACCTCGGGCCGGATAAATTAAACGTGGAAGGTGTAAAGAACATCGCTTGCGCATTCGCTCCGCATTCGCTCCGCATTGGCCGTGCCGTCGTGTGTTCCCCGCATTTGAGGGCTGGAGCATGATTAATGCTGCTGCTGAGGCCTGGCGTCGTGGGCCCGTCTCGACGCTGAGCGCCTCGAGGGGGCCAGAGAACCGCAGGCGTGTGCGGTGGATCACGAGGTGCGCGTTGGTGGGTTGCCTGTCCTTGTCTGAGGTGAAATGAGCTTGGTGGTGTGGCAGAGCTATTTTGGGCTGGCTTGTACCTGCTTACGTATGGCAGAACTACATGTGCACGTCTGCGAACACGCCTACTGATACACATTGCCCTGGACCTGCATCCTCGCATGATGTGCACTACCCAATCAGCTGGGTCAAGACGGTAATCGAGTCACTCAACTGTCCCCGCGGGTGGATTAAGTTTGTGGGATCTGGCTTGAAACGAATCGCGAGGATGATGACGAGAGCAGGAGCACGAGCCTGAACCATAACGTCGGTCATAACGCAGGGTGATAGGAATGGGAAAGTTTCCGCGCACAGTTGGTGTATATGTGTGGCTGCCGGGCGTCGAAGAGTGCATGCATCATTATCGACGTTATCAGCTGGAACAGGCACGTTCCTGCAGCCACAGCACATTTCCCATGGTCTCGTTCAGTCGATACGAGCTGTTTTGTAATCATCTCAGAGCTCGCGGAAATGAGCTGCACGGTCAGATTCAGCTCCTAGTCTGCATTCACTCGACACTATCAGCGTTGCGAGCCGGCGTCGTCCCGTCCCGTTCCGTGCCCATATTTGTCTCCCACGTTTCAAGCCGCTTATGCAGTGCACCCT